GACAACATACAGTATCAGTTTTTCAGTCATTCAACCCATGATTAATAAAAACGTAGTATATGCACACCAATCTATAAAATGAACACATCAAACCTCATTTTGCATTTAAAGCTGTAAACAGGCTAAATAACAGTAAATCACCAATCACACTAGACTCGGGCTCCATTAGCCACCTTAAGCAATTTCACACATTTGTTAATTCAAGAAATACCGTTTTATCATTTTGAACTTTAATACCGTGATAGGAAATAGGGTGAGGGGTCCTTACTTGTTTTCGGGATCCGAATACGATTCACAGTGCGCCTGCAGGCCGTCCCTAATTTTCCCTGAATTTTTCCCGGGGAACTAAAACACACTAACAGTACCTGCACATGTTCCAAAAAAAATCCAAATTAGGCCCAGGGCCTCTTTCGGCCCAAATCGCAACTCTGGCATGGCGGCTCCGCCGTGCTCCGGCGACGGCGCCGCCGCTGGCGGCGGCGAGTCGCCTCGGGTTGGCTGTTTTCGGCCGAATTCGGCCACACTTGCATTGGTCCTTGTCAGAAAACAACCCTAGGGCCCTCGGGGGGCCAAAAAATCACAGAAAAGCGGAGCTTACCGGCGGCGGCGCTCTCGGGTACTGCGGCTCTCCGGCGAGGTTCGTGTTTTGGTGATTCGGCTTCGGTCAACCTGTAGAGAAAAGAATGGTGATCACGGTGATATAAAAATTGCATCGAACGGAGGCCGGGAAGGACCTCGTCGGAGGCAAAAACCGAGAGGGGGCGCGGCGGCGCCGCTGGGTTTCGGCCGCGTATTCCGGCCGTTTGGCCGGGATTTCGGCCTCAATTTGGCCATAGGAGGAATCAGCGGGGAAAAACGAGTCGGGGGTATGAAATTTACCTCGATCGGCGGTCGGAAATTTCCCCGGTGCGGCGGCGGGTGGCGGCGGTCGGCCTCTGGTTCGTCTTCTCCGGCGAGCGGCGGGCGGCTAAGGTTTGTGGTCTGGTGTGGGGGTTCTATTTATAACCCCTTGCCTTTTGATCACAGCCGTTCATTTCGTTTTAATCTGGGCCGTTCGTTTTTGATTGAATCTGGGCCGTCCGTGCGATTGAATCTGGGCCGTCCGATCGCGCGATTGATCTGGGCCGTCGGATCGCACCCACGCGGATCGCCAACGTGGCTGCTTTCGGAGTGACGCGGTCTTGCACGTGGCAGGCCCCGGTTGGCCGGGACTGCCGACCGGGCCTGCTGACGTGGCCCTCCCTTTTTTTTTTTTTTTTTTTTTTTTCCCGGGTGCTACAGATGAATTTGTTCCAAACTGACTAATAAGATCATTCTACAAAATGGCTTTTGAATGAGTTTAACTTAAGAATAAATGATTCCAGACTCAGTGATTTTTTGTTTCTGGGTCATTCTCTTTAGGAGGATTTAGTGGATATTACTGATACTTGGATTGATTTATAAATTTTTGTATTTGGATTGGTACTCCCTGTGCTAATATCAATATATACATTACACTACATATTTCAAGAAAAAAAAAAGATCATTCTACAAAGCTTTCTTGACAAGAATTTAGATTAAAGCAAATCAAAGGAGGACTGAAAAACAAGAATAATGGACTTTGCTTGCCCTTTGTCCTCCTACTAAACCCCATATTCTTCTGTCCAAATATAAACATATAAAATTTATTGATCAACAAAAAAAAGAAGAAATAATTTAACATTTATTGCATGAAAATATATTTATCAGTTACATTTAGTTTCTAATAAACATTAAATGATAGTTTAACATCCCCTGTATGGCAACATACTCTTGTCACTTCGAAGCTCCATCATCACTTCAAAACAGACAGTCGTCACTCCATATAAATCAGCTGGAGGCCTGATTAGTCCCGCTCAATAAGCCTCCATGTGCGTCTTTCTTTCTTCCATTAGGTTAGGCTGCATATTCTTTCTTCACATCATCATGAAACTTCAACAAAAGAGCACACTGTAATCTCTGAGCTGCCTTCATCATTATCATAATCCAAATCCAAATCCAAATCCAAATCCTTCTCCACATTCTTTGACTCAACAAAACGGTTACTAAACCTCCTGTTCTTCAAAATCACCTCAGATTTCTTCATCAGCTGAATGTACTTCTTCCTCACTCTCAATAGTGGATGCCTCTCTATACCAGATTTATTAGAACAAGCTTCTTTAAGGATGGCTGTACAAGTTTTGTTCCTCAAAGACAAATAGAATATATGGGGATGCCTCTCAAATGCCTTGTGCATTTTCTGTGGCAATCCGAAGTACTTTTTAAGGCACAAAAGCTTCCTCCTTTCAGCTGAATTCTCAACAAACAGACAAAGCAACTCATGAAGAAATCCAACAACTCTCTTCTCTGCTAAATCACTGTTTGGATCCAAATGTGAGAAGTCCTCATAGGGTGAAACATAAGGAAGCTTTTGGAATTCTTTTAACCAATCGTCTATCTTCCTCCTCAGCCTGAAGCCCTTTGAAGGAAAAAGAGAGAACTCAATTGCCTCCATTGAGCCACCAAAGTAAACACCTTTCTTCATTGCATCTCTCTGCAACATTGACAAAACCCTTTTTCCCTCACTCTCAACAGCCAATCCCTTTAATCCATCTTCCACATCCACAAACCTGAAAGACCCATCAAGGTTCTCTTCTGGGTGCTGCAAAAAATCCTCAGGCAACCCCAAATACCACTCCAAACCTTTAATAATCTTTAAAGGCAAAACCTTTTGTTTACTCATCAAAATCAACCTCTTCAGCCTACCCCTTAAATCCTCCCGGCAATTCTCATACACCTTTCTTTCTTCTCTATGAATCTCGGCAGCCTCTTGGGTCAGCCTGAACCAAGGAAGATTGTGCTCCGGACCAGTAAACTCCTCGAAAATTGATGGGTATTGTCTCAAGAACCTGGCAACCTTAATGGGTATATCAAACTCTGTCCCCCTCTTCGATATAGCAGAGATTGGTACGCAGCCGTTGGCGTTCTGCACGATGCAATTCTTGAGTGAAATAATGGGCCTGAGTTGTACGGATTTGTAGATGTGCTCAATTGAGTCATAATAAGAGTCTTTCTTCCATTTCATGTATACATCGACATAACTTTGCTTTTGGATGTAGATGTATGGAGGTATCTTTTCTGGTTGGTATGGGAGCGACGCAGAGAGAAGGGTTTTAATGATGGGTTTGAAGAACATGAGTTGAATGGTAAGAATACGCACTGTACGCGGCTATGGCTGTGGAGAGAGAAAAGAGAGACGAGAACGAGAAGAGATTCTTGCAGGCTTGCTTTCTAATGCGGCGCAAACCTTAAGACACCCAATTCCGCCATTACCATCGCTAATCAGAGCCTGGTGGTTTTTCTTTTTACTTTTTTTGAATAATTATTAATTACAATTAATATCGTTATAATATGATTTTAATACCACTTATCTGAAACAGTAATTTTTAATTAATTTTTTTTTTCTGTCCTATTTCTTTTCCTTATTAATATTAATATTTTGTTTATAAATTTTAATCTTTTGAAAAATAAATTATTAAATTAAATAAAAGAATTTTAACCATGTATACTCTAAAGTTTTATAGTTATAAGAGCATCACAAATTCCACTAATTTTCAAAGTTTAAAGATGATATCTTAATGAAAAATGTTTTAAAATTCAATTATAATATAATAAATAATTTAAAAACTAGAATAAAAATTTACTTACAAAAACTACCAATTTATGTTTAAATACATAATAAATAAAATTAATTTAAACAAAATATTCAAAATCAAATTTCAATAGTCATTTATTGTTTTTTTTTTAAATGTGAGTTTGTCAAATTAAATTAAATTTTATTTCTTTGATATGGAACAATAAAATTGACTTCTAAACGAGATTACACGACGTTAGTATCATACGACTTGAATTCACGACTTAAATTTACAATCATCTAATAAAATCTATGAACTTGATACTCATTCGAGAAATATTTCACCGAGGAGAAAAATAAATTTGATACTCATAAACAAATCAACAAAACAATATCCGAAGGCATATTTACAATCAGAATTTACTTTCGAGAGGAAAACAAATAAATTTGATAATAAATAACAAATCAATAAACTATATCCAAAGGTATATTTACAATCACAAATACTTG